CCCTGCAGGGACACCCCAGCATCCCCCTGCCCCCCCTGCACCCCTGTGGTGGGTCCTGTCCCCCTGGAGACACACAGTCCTGGTTTGTTCGGGTCCCACACGTGGTGACTGGAAGAGCTGGTCCATGTGGCAGATGCCGAGGGGAGTGTCCCACAGAGGGTGCCACAGGTGCTGATGGAGCTCTAGGTGGGGTGTTTGGGTGCATGGTCCCTCTTGGCACAGCCCTGTCCCTTGGTCTGACCCTCCTGGAGGGCCTCACCCATCCCAAGGATGGTAGCTTGGGGACCACGAGGACGGGGCTGCCCTGCCATGGGGACATCCAGGTGCTGCTGTCACCTTGCCCATCCCAGGACCCACCTGGCTCCAGTGGCTTCACGGTGAGGCTATTTCTGACCCTGCACCCTAATTGTACCCCCTGCCCAGCTCCCCGTGTGAGCCATCCCCTGGCCAAATCCAGCTCCTCCCACCCACACCTCCCGGTTTTGGCTCCTTGCAAAAGCAGCTCGACAGGTCCTTGGTGGGGGCGGTGCCGAGGTTCCCCTTCCTGCCGCCACCGCGGCACCTCTCGTCTGGGCCCTGCTCCTCTGTGGGCAACCCACCCCCTGGGAGATGCCTTTCCCCAGGGATGTGGTTGTTCCAGGGCTGCATCACCCCACGTCCCCAGGGCTGGGGTTAGAGGTGACCTGGGGCCGGGCGGTGCCTCCCAGGCGAGTTGATCACCAAAAACGGGGTGTTTTGGCAAAATAAACCACCCGTGACCCGAGCTGAGCTCCAGCCTGGCCCGGGCCATGGTGGGACAGCCCGTGGTGTCCTGCCCTGTTACCAGAGCACCCTGGAGGCGGGAGCTGCCCCGGGGCCTCCCGGAGCAGTTTCGGCAGCGCCTGGTGCTGCTCCGAGAGCGGAAACCACGTCACGTCCTGCCGGGGCGGCTGAGGGGGCTGTGGTTGTGCAACGGTGGCACGGAGGGACACCAGCCCCTGCCCTGACATCATGGCTCCAAGAAACACTGATTTCCCCAGCCGGGCCTGTCACGCACCCCTGGCTGTGGGACGGGGCGGGGACTGTCACCCCCGAGCAGGGCCCGGCCTCCGGGGCCCCTCAGCTGTGTCACCAGCCCATGTCCCCAGCCCTCAGCCCGGGCACTTGGCGCACTCATGACATGGATGGACAGGGCCAATTCTTCCTCCTGTCCCCCACCTGCCTTCCCTTGGGGACCCCCAGGTGGGGACATATCCACGGGATGCTCACATTGTGGGAATGGTGGTGTTCCCATCCTTCCACCAAAGTCCCCATGATTCTATCAGTGTCTCCATCCTGGGAATGGTGTTCTCATTGTCCCATCGGTGTTCCCATCGTCCCCCCAATGTCCCCATTGTCCCACTACTATCCCCATTGTCCCACTACTGTCCCCATTGTCTCACTAGTGTCCCGATCTTCCCACTGGAATCCTCGTGTCCCACCCGTGTCCCCATTCTCCCATGAGTGTCCCCCTCCTTCCACCAGTGTTCCCATGTTCCACAGGTGTCCCCATTGTCCCACCAGTGTCCTCATCCTCCCACCAATGTTCCCATTGTCCCACCACTGTCCCCATCATCTCACCTCTGTCCCCATCTTCCCACTGGAATCCTTAAGTCCTACCAGTGTCCCCATTGTCCCACTGGTGTCCCCATTGTCCCACTGGTGTCCCCATCCTCCCACTGCTGAGCGAGGACAGCTGGTGCTGGGTGAGCAGTGGGTGCTGCAGCCCTGGGGGGTGTTTTTGGGGTGACCCCCCAATGCTGCCACGCTTCACCCCACAGAATTCCATGAACCTGCCCCCAGACAAGATGAAACTGCTCAACCAGTACGACAACGAGAAGAAGTGGGAGCTGATCTGTGACCAGGTGAGGTCTGGGCTCCCTGTCCCCAAGTGCCACTCGTGGCACCAGCTGTGCCCAGCACTGCCACCCACCTCGTTAGTGGCACGGCACCTCATTAACCTCATTAAGCGTTGATGGAGCGCAGGGCTGGGGACAGGGACACGGTGGCTGCTGTGCAGGTCCCCGTGCCCTGGCAGGTGGCCCAGTTTCAGCCTCTCCCTGGGGTTTGTAGGAGCGTTTCCAGGTGAAAAACCCTCCGTCCGCCTACATCCAGAAGCTGAAGAGCTACTTGGACACGGGTGGTGTCAGCAGGAAGGTGAGGGGTCCCCCTGCACCCCAACCCCCTGGTCCCTGTCCCACACTGGGCACAGGGACAGTGCCAATGGTTGTCCCCATCCCACAGTTCAAGAGGCGAGTGCAGGAGTCCACGCAGGTGCTCAGGGAGCTGGAGATTTCCTTGAGGACCAACTACATTGGGTAAGGATGGGGTGTCACTGTCACCCAGCGCTGCCACCGTCCCCGGGATGGGGATGGACACGCTGCTGGCTCTGGATGGGTGCTGACAGCAGGATGTGGAGGCTCATGGTCTCATCCTGTCCCCCTGGAGGGGCTCTGATGGGAGGCTGGGGGTGCTGTAGGACCTGAACCCCGTGTTGGCTGTGGTA